CTAAGCCTTAGCAATGTTCAACAAGAAGAACTTATATGAGGCCATAAAATTTGAGTGACATTTTTCAAGAATAATTATTTAAAGCTTCACACTCTTGCAAATTTATACTGTGCATCAGAGGGTAGAAATAAGCAAGTCTCTACAATGTTTTGTCTTGACAAGCATTTATTTTTTAATGACAACCCATTTCTATTTTTAATGGCACTTATTTTTGTACACAGAATGATCAGTCCTATCAAGGACATACACCAAGTGCAGCACTGTTATCCCAAAGCTAACAAAAAGCATCCCTGTCATGCAAGTAATTTTCTATTCACATAATAATATGTGATGGAGTCTTGCTAAATATTACAGATCTCATTTGATTTTTACACATTTTTACAACTTCCAATATTCACTCAGCCTTCACAGAATTTGTTTAAACATTGTGTTATTTCCTATAACTTGTAGTAGAACCATTTACAAAAATTCAGTTGTCACAATTTTTTGACAGTTTACCACTGATACACAATACAGAAGGAAACCCAGGTTTCTCTCCCCTAGATGAATTTTCACTGTCATGTCCAAAGTGCATAAAATAATAGGTGACAATCAGTTAATGAAGCAAATTGAATTCAGAGATACCCAGGGGAAAGAAGATGTTGACCATGCAATAAAGAATATTTTTGTAACTACATTTTTGATAAAGAGAATGAGGGCAGCATGGGTAGTCACAGGAATCCCAAAAAGCAGGTTTATTCATTGCTTAAGTAATATAATGGCTTATTTAAATATTGGGATCCTATAAATACCAGTTGCGTATTGTAGGCTTAGAAAAAAATTTGCCCCTGTCAGTAATTTGAAAATATTTTAAATCTTTCTTTAAAAAGTAACCCAGTGTTTATTGTTACTGACAAAGTATTTATCTAAGTTTACATATATTTTGACATCATAATTTTGTTTTGGTATTAAATAATTGTGTGTGGTTTAATAAATGAGATGACACTCATAGTCTACTCTTTATTTCATGAAGAATAGTATTAAATAAGAAACAAGAAAAAATATGAGAAAAGGAAAAGTTGGTAACAAAGTCTTTGTAAATAGGGGAGGGTGGAAGGGTGAAAGGAGGGCAGGGGTATGGAGAAAAAATGAGAACCAAGATCTGTCATTTAAAGGTACAAGATCCCAATGATGAATGTAACTGTTCTGTATACTTAAAATGCACCAATAAACTCAGAGAGAGAAAAAAATTTGTGGAACACAATGAAAGCAGTCTTATAAGGGATATTCACAGCAGTTAACACTTAGGAAAACAGACAACTCAATTAAACAACTAGATGATGAAATTCAAGCTTCTAGAAAAAGAAGAGCAGGACAAACCCAAACCTAATACAGAGGAGAAAATTATAAAGATCACAAAAGAAATCAATGCAATGGAGACTAAGAGAAAAATAGAAAAAAATCAATGAAGCAAAGAGTTGTTTTTTAAAAGAATAAACACTTGACAAACCCTTAGCCAACCTTATCAAAAAGAAAAAAGAAAAGACCCAAATCCATGCAAATAGGAATGAAAAGGGTGAAATTAAACTGGACCCATTAGAAATTCAGGGGATCATCAATACCTACTTCAAGAACGTATATGTTGATAAGATGGAAAACACAGAAGAAATAGATTTCAGATACATAAAAATTACCAAAGTTGAACAAAGAAGATATACAAATTCTAAACAGCCCAATATCAATCAACAAAATTGAAAAAATAATTAAAAACTTAGCGATGAAGAAAATCACAGGTCCTATGTCTTCATTACTGAATTCTACAAGACATTTAGAGAAAAACTATTTGTACTACTGTTAAAACTCTTCAGTGAAATTGAAAGGGAAGCAATACTCCCAAATTCATTCCCGGAAGCAAGCATCACCTGGATTCCAGAAGTAAAGAATGACCCAAAAAGGAGAAGAAGACAGAGAGAAACATGGGAAAGCCATGCGAAGACAAGTATTAGCATGAGTCCATGCTGGGGGCCCCTGAGAGCTCACAAGGCAGGGAGCAGTTCCCCCTAGAATTTCCAGAGAAAGTATAACCTTGCAGCCACCTTGATTTGGGGCTTCAAATCTCTAGAGTTGTAGGGGGATAAATTTTTTTTTGCTTAAAAAATATTATTAAAATAAGCTGTGACTTCTTTCCTAAGGTTATATTTCTACACTATAGTTTAATTTCAGTTGACATCTATTAGCTATTCATTTAAAATATAAAATTTAATGAGTTTTTGAGTTGTCTTTATTGGAGCCATAATCACAAGACAAAAGACCTTTCCTTCACCTCCAGAGGAATCTTTGTACCTTCTTGCACTACATTCCTTTGGCACAGGCAACCACTGATTTTAGGTCATTATAGATTACTTTGTATATCTTTAAAATTTTATATAAAACATAATACAGTATTTACTCTTTTTGCTGTCATATTTTCACAGCATAGAGAATTTGAGCTGCAACTTCATGTTTGTTGTGTATCAGATATTCACTGGTTTTGATTACTGTATATCATTCAGTTTTTTAACTTATCTAATCACACACTGATTAACAAGGGTTATTTGTTAGTTTTGGTTATTGGGAGTCAAACTACCTTGAACATTAATGTATAAGTCTCTGTATAGACAGGCATATGTTTTGTTTCCTCAGTCATATGCCAAGTATATGTTTAATATTTTCAAAAATTCCAAATAGTTTTCCAAAGATGTCAAAATATTTTATACTTTCTTTAATGATATATGAGTGTTTCAGTTTCTTTACATCTTGACCTGCATTTAATATTGCCTTTGTATGTGTCTCTGTGTTTAATTTTTTCTGTTGAGTATACAACATCTCATTTTCATGTGCATTCTCTTCATATCCAGTGATGTTGTACATTTTATCATGTGTTTATTTACCAGTGGTAAATAACCTTGTGTGAAAATCGATTTAAAATTTTCTATTCATTTTTATTGAATTGTCTGTCTAAATAGTACTGATTAATTCTATGTTCAGCATGCAAGTCTGTAATTAGATATGCATATCACAAATATTCCTTCAAAATTTAGTTTGCATTTTTATTTTCTTAACTATTTCAAGGATTACATTTTTAAAATTTTAGAAAGTTAAAATTACTTTTATAGTGTTTGCCTTTAGTGCTCTAAGAAACTATACTCAAGGGAAGGCCTCTGATCAACCTGCTTTCAATTACTTATTTTAGAGTCCTCTGATTATTGTTTTTGAAATTTGTGTGAAAATTTTAGTAGAGATTCTTATTAGAGATTGGATAAGTGGCCTTTCTCCATTTGGATGCTTAACTTCTACTAGTACTTTGAGATAAATGGGAAAAACAGTTGAGAGAGAAATCTACTTCAGTGAAGGAAATATTTTCCCTCATCTATTTGAAGACAGCTTATTTGAGAGAATGGAATTTACAGATGTTGTAGAAGTATCTAGAAATAACTTGAGTGTATGGGAAGCCACACATGATAAATGTACTGATTGGACTTAATTTAATAGGGTGTCCCTTTTCTTTGTGTCACCAGAATTATCGCCCATCTAAAAAGAGCTGATGCTTTTTTGAGTAATACAAAATTCTATAGACCAGTCTACTTTGCATGGCTTGTGTTAAATATTCTTTCTCTATATTGTCCAGTGGTAAAACTATAAATCTCTTACACTAAGTGCTCAGAGGGAAATAAAGATCAGTACTGCTTCTTTCATGCAGGACTGCATTTTAGCTTCAAGGATTGCCATGATTAATCAACTATTCTGTGATGGGTGGCAAGGCCAACGGTCACCTTTCAGTGAGACTTTGGCAGTGTCTGGATCAAAACTCAGGTGTCTTATTATGAATCTATCATCTGACTCTAGGGCACTTGAGAGACTTACTTCTACAGTAGATAGAAAGATTTTCTGTGAGTAAATACCAGCCCTAAGAGACTCTACTGCATGTTCCAACAGCATCTCTGTTGATTGTCATTTTGACATGAAGGATATAGACTTTATAAGATGGAGTTTCAAATTTGTGTGTGTGTGTGTGTGCACGCGCATGTGCGCTGGGGGGAGTGGAGTTTACCATCATGTCACATAGAAGGATTACAATGGTAAGAACTTCAGTCTGATCATTTTTCTAGTGTGCTACTCTGCTCATTACCCAAAATGTTTACACAAGTTTCTGGAAAGTAAACTTTTGGACTCAGCCTAAAGTAGTTTTGAGTGAAAGGTAGCAGGGGCAAGTATATAAATCTTTCCAAATGTACTTCAAATGCTAACATGAAAAATGAGCACTTTTAATTTACTGTTTGGAGTTTTAAATATGCCATAGATGTCACTTTTCAGTAATTTTTAATCTAATGAGAATTGCACATGTGATAATAATGTAAATTTCAAATATTTTAAAATAAGTTCCTTTAAGGGCTTTTGGGAACTGAGAAAATAAAAGTATAGACCTCTTGTAGTTTTTTCTTGATAATAAAAAATGTTTCAGCCATTATATTGTTTGTGATTCCTGTATGACCTCTCTTCTTCCTTGGCTATCAGTGTAACAGCCTTGACTGGCAGTCATGAGTTTCATGATCTCTGCTTTTCATTTTTATATTCACAGATGAAAAGAGACAGGTTGTTTCCCAGATGGGAGAGCTCCATAAATGCCACAGTGTAGCTGAATTTTAAAAAGCAAATATGTAATAGAGTCTTTTTCAGCCATGACCAATATTATTCCAACTAAAGTAGATATTTAATACTCTTGTAAACGGTTAAAAGTCCTACATTGATATTTAAAGCAAAATTTTAATTTGCATACATGACTTTCTGTTAAGTTTTCATTTTTGAAGTGTTTCACATTATGTGTTTTGCAGTGCTGGAGGAAATATATCTTACAAAAATCATATGTTCTTTATATCCTGAATTATTGTTTGCCATAACTTCTCTTTAACTAGTCATGTAGTACAAGAAATTTTCTTGACTGGTCCTGAAATGGTCTATTCCCTGCTCTTCCTCTTCTAAAGCTCCACAGAGCTGCAATACTCTGGACCCAGATGACTTCATTGGTGAGTTACATATGAAATTAAGTGAAGAAAAATTCAATTATACACAAACTTGTAAAGAGAATAGGAAAAGAAAGTACTATGAAAATGAAAACTAAAAAGAATTGTGTGAGAAAGATACATTATTAGTCTTTGTGACTGTACAGACAAAAATCCTCAGCAAAATGATCTATTAATAATCATAACCAGTTTGGCTTTCTTAGAGTACAGTGAAATTCGTTGCACATCAGAAAGTCAATGATTGTGATTCACATTAGAAGATTAAAGGAGAAAAAAAATAGATGAGGAAAATATTTGGCTAAATTCAACTTCATGCCTTGAAAAAACACTGATAGAAACTAGTATTCAGGAGGAACCTTAATCATTATAATGAAATATGTCTCCTTTGTGTTAGAAAGAAAAACTGACTGCTTCCGAGACAGTTTTTGATCACAGCATCTGGTGCCTTAGAAATGATATGAGGAGCAAACTGTAATGTGCATTGTTGAAGGAGCGGAATTTTGGGTCTCCACCTTCAAATCTCACTTTCATATAGGAGCAGGAACAATTGATACAAAGCTTAAATCATGTTCCTTAAACTTCAGTATAGTTTGGAATCACCTGCTGAGTTACCCAACATTGCTTTTTCCCATGCTATATGCCTGTTTTTCATGTTTTTTTTTTTAACTAATTTTAGTTCATTTATTTTTGGAAAAAATAATCAGCATTTCTGGGCATACAATATTATGTCAAGTCAGTCGTTTTGGGTATAAGATTAGTGAACAGTATGGATTAAGATCAATCAAAAAATGCAGGCAAGTGATTCTCACCACAGACCTACCAAATTAGAACATCTACAAATGAACTCAGGAATTTTTTACATCTAAAAGATTCTCAAATTTTTGCCAAGAAACTTTGTGGTATAAATTTCACATAATAAAATGTATAATTTTTAAGTATTTAGTATAATAACTTTGACATACACATTACTATCAGGCCAGAAAGTTTTTTTTTTTTTCCTTATTTACACTTTTAGTTTTTCACACTGGAGAAACTATTTGGTATCTACACGTGTGTCCTATTAATTTCACTTAAGTGTATGGCCTCAATGTGCATCTACTTATCTATAAATGTCTCTAGTTTCTCATTCTTTATGGCTGAGTAGTACTCCATTTTATTTTTTAAAAACCCCACATCTTTATCAAGTCTCCAGGTGATGAGCAATTGGGCTGTTTCCAAGTTTTAGCTATTACAAACTGCGCTGCTAATAAACATGGGCAAGCATATATCAATGTGGTATGATTCTTTTAATTATTTTGGGAAGATACCCAGCAGAGGAATAGCTGGGTCAAATAGGGCTTCTAATCTTAATTGTCTGAGGTATCTCCATATTGATTTCCACAGTGGTTGCACCATTCTGCACTCTCATCAAAAATGAAGAAGGGTTCCTTTCTCCGTACAACCCCACCAGCATTTGTTATTGGTTAATTTCTCAATAGCAACCATTCTTTCTGATTTTGTAAATCTAGAGTGAGGCCTGACAATTTCCATTCCTGCAAGTACCGAGATGCTACTGGTGTTTCTCATTAGAGAACCCAACATTTAGCACCATAATTGATAAAACACCATGTATGGTGTTTAGGTTGGAGAGGCAAGACAATGACCATGGTAACTATTTTTATGTGCCACTATGCAAAAGCTATTTAAAGCTTTGTAATTCTCATCTTTGTGACACTTTTAGTTCACTCCTGTTTTCTTTAGTTCATACACCTAGAAAACAGCTTATATTATTAGCAAAAAAATTTTTGATAAAGGGATAAAAGAGTGATACAGGCAGATAAAAGAACAGACAAAGTGGTGTATTATTAAGCTTAATACTCAGGACAACCAGTGACCTAAGCACAGGACACTTTTCTATTTCAGGAATGTACACAAAAGAGAGAAATAAAGACAAATGTATCTGCCAAATCCTGTTATCCCCATCAGTGAACCCTCTTCTATGGACTGATTTAGTTAACTTACAAGTATGTTAACTTATGAGTAGTTAACTTATGCGTAGCAAGTATGTATATTTTGTAAATTACCAGTATATTGTGTCCTCAGAAAAGCCCTGGCATCACAGGAGAAGTATACAGTAGACCCTCAAGGAAGAACCATGTTTTTGCCCAGCTGAAGTGAACTGGAACCACACAGAAGCTAAGGTAAAGTAGGAATCTAGTATCAAGGAAGAACAGGAGAAAATATTTTTAGTTAGCATAAAAATTGCAGAATTTTTATGATGGTTTGCAACATTTACGTGCATTATAGATGGCTTGTCAGCATAGCTGGTTCCCAGTACACCATATATGATACAAACAGTCACTCCAGTTTTGCTCAACTACTATTTAATATTTTTAAACCATCTTGATATGTTGTGCAGGTTGACTTTGAACTCCTAGACTCAGCTAAGCCTCCTACCTCGGCCTCCAGACTAGCTGAGACTATAAGTGCATGCCCCTGTAGCTGGCCAACTAGTGTAATTAAACAAATTATTTTAATAACAGTGGTCTTCATCCTCTTAAAGCAATATATTCCTATTTTTAATCTAAGGAAGAAGATGTGTGTTCACTTGAAGATGGTGGCCAGGTCTATCTTTGAAAAGATTTAATACAGATAATTCAGTGGAAGAAGACAGAATCCTAGTTGTCCTGATTACATACAAGATGATACTCACTGCTCCCTCTCTGAACTGCAGATTTCCCTCACTGTCAGTCAGGATGGTGACTGCTTTGGAGCAGCAGATTCACCTAACAATGAGCTACAGGGAACCCCTGGGGTCATTGCCACTCTCAGTTAATGACAAATTCTGAGCACAGTGATAATCATCAGCAATCATCTAGAAGCTGTCTTGGAATTATTTTATCCTTTCAGTTGGGAGTAGTCATTAGCAATATTTCCAAAGAGGCTTCAGAAAAATAACATAGGATTCTGGGAAACCTCTTCATATGATTTAACCATATGTTCTAGAGTTGCTGGATGCATAGCATAGATTGCTGCATGGCTTTTTAGACATGGGATATCTAGTAATACCCTAGCCTTGAAGGAAAGTTTTGATATAATTGTCACTTGGTATCCTGCACTCTGGTACTCTGTCTGGTATTCTGTCTCCAGCAAATTCACTAGCACAGCTAAAAGTATCATACAGATTAGTTCTCTTCTGTAGAAGGTATGGTTTTGCTACAGAATCTTGTACGTCTAAGTGGATTCTACTGTTGGCTTGCTCAAAATTCAACATGATATCAGTGATCTCCACAAAACTACTGAATCAGGTTTTTCACCTTGGGAAACTCTGGCCACAGTATTCTCTTACATGAAACTCCAGTTGAAATTGGCAGACTTCTAGGTCACTGAAAAGATGGAGAGTTAAATATGCATTTATATAATTAAATTTATTATGTAATTTAAGTTATATAGCCATTTTTGGTTTTGTTCATTTGACTTATGGTAAGTTGGAAAGTCATAAGGTTGTTCAGAGTTCTACTTAATGTGTGGATTATACATTTATACTCTTTAAATTGGATTGATTTTGTTATTTGGTTTTCCCCATAAAATGTGGGAGAAATTATGTTGTAAGACTTCCAATCTGGTACTGTCCAAAAGCCTCTAGTCCCAGCTGGATCACCATCTGTGTAGTCACCAGTAGAGTATTTCCTAGCCAAAGAACAGAATAAGGAAACATAATTCTTGTGTAAGTCAATAAATTCTGGTGTTGTTGTATATGTAGTAATCTACAATGGATACAAATTCTTTTAAAATATCCTTTTACTAGTGTTTTTGCTGTTTCTGATTTATAAAGTTGAATGTCATGTTAACTGCATAATCATGCCTAATATCTAAATTGTAAATATTGCTGAATAAAGTAGGTTTTTTTGCCTCATGTAACTCTGTTTTGAATGAATTCTCCACTGACATTTCATAAACAGCATAGGTAAGTGTACAAGCAAAACTGAAAATATTTTCTTTTTAAAATTTCTTGCCACATTAATATTTTAAATGTATCCCTTAAATTTGTGTTATTATAAACACTTTATTTCCATTTTTTCATTTTCTCATATTTTTTTCCCTTATTACCTTTCCCCTATCTTTCCCATTTTCCCTACACCTTTAGCCCTTTTCTTCCCATTAGGGGAGGAGGGGGTGAAGGGAAAGTGGGGACAAGGGTAAAAAATGAGAACCAAGACCACCTGTCATATAAAGGTACAAGATCTCAGCAATGAATGTAACTGTACTGTATACCTAAAATGTACCAATAAACTCAATAAAAGAAAAAAAAATTACTCTATTGCATCATAATTTATTTCTTTGGGTAATTAGAAGATTTTCATTTTTGTTACCTTTATTTACTCTTTCCTCATTTATCCTGCAACAATATTGTCAGTTTTTAATACAATCCTCCCACTGTATTACTGTATAGCAAACAATGGTCTATTTTCTACTTTCCATTCAATTCTCACATTTTAAAAAAAGGTGCATTATTTTTACATTATTGGACATTTTAAAATAATGAACTATTGTTGAACATTTTTTAAGTGAACTATTTTTCCACCCTGAACTAGATCTTCTTTTCACCCTAGGACCATGACTAAACACACATAATTCTCCCTCAAAATTGTTTTGCAAACATGACTCCAGTCATTTCCTCATAGGCTGAAGATCATTCTCTCAAGTCTAAAAAAATAGTACTCCTTGAATTCTTATTATTCAAGTCTTACATACTTTAGATACTGCTGAATGTACAAAATACCTGGCCTATGGACCTTTTAGGTGCAGATCCTTAGTATGGAAAAGCATGAGACTTGCTATTTATGGGCTGTTAGCCACTCTCTGGATTCGAAGAGGACATTGCCTTGAACTCTAAGCTGTTAGCTGGACTTCTTTGAGAAACTGCTGGGATCTAGGCCCTCAGTTGAATGTTTTGGGCTTCTAAAGTATGATTAATTTCTTGTACTCTTTACATTTGACTCTTTGGGTAATTATCATAAAATAACCTTATAAGTTATGTGCCCTGTATTTAAAGTATGCCCTTGCCTAATCCTGCTGACTACAATAGCACCCATGTCAGGAAATCAAAGGGTTTGATGTGAATGTCCAATCCATTTGTCAAAAAAAAAAAAAAAATTACTGTGCTATGTCCCAGTGGTTTATCTCTTTCTGTTTTAAAATAATGATGTTCTACTTCTGCCTTGTTTTATATGCTATTCTAAGATATCTATTGCCAATTGAATTCTCCTACGCTTGTAAGTTTTTTTACCTGAGTCTTATAGTGTTGAGGTTTGTTTGTTTTCCATTTAAATTAGAAAAAATAAAGTGACAAGACAATTCTGTCCTGCATATTTCTTGAGGTTAATCACTACTAGTCAAATTTGGAAAATATCTGATAGGTACTTGCAATGTAAGAAGATATATTCTTTAAATTATGTATCTTAAATTGCAGTTTTAAATATTATATATTAAATATATTTTAAAATATTATATATATTATACATACATATATTTTATGCTTTCTCTTTGTCTCTTCTTTAAACACTCCAACTATACATGTGTTGGACTTTGTCTGATCTGATCCTTCATAGTTTGATAACATTGTCTTTGCTTTCATTATATCTATTTTATTGTTATTCTTTTAGGTCTCATTTTTCAATTTTTATTCATTTAATACTTTTAAATTTGGTGTTTATTTTTATGATTATTTTTTCTTTAATTTTTCTATATTCAGTTAAATTTTGCTTCATTTCTTTGTACTTCTTGTCTTTATTTCTTCTGAGTTTTAGCTTCTCTGATTCATGTTTTCCTTTCATATTTGTAAATGTTATGTATACATGAGCATATATACACACATATCAAGAAGTGTAGTGATATATATAAAAAACATAAAATTAGAATATACATATATATATATAACCATATAATTTCTATGTATGAACTTTTCTTGAATTTGAATTTAGCTTTTAATTTGTGCAGATATATCATATTTTCCCATAATTGATACTGCTTTTGTGACATTTCTATTTTGTTGTACTAAGATTAGGATAACCATTTCTGTCATACTTAACAAAAATGGAAGTAACAAAGTTACCTTACTCTGTATTTTATATTATCTGCATTATACTACCAATATTTTTTATATTTTAAAGATCTTTCCCAAAATTCTATTATCACTGTTTCCAATCATTTAAAATATTTGAAAGAATTTTTACATACCATACCCAACCACATGTATACCATTTAGTTTAAAAAATAACTTTCGTTATTTTTTTTCAGCTTTAATTGAGTGTATTGGAACATTTTAGGGATACAGTACACTTACATTCGTTGTGGGGATCTTGTACCTCTACATGACAAGTCTTGATTCTCATTTTTTCCCCTTGTCCCTGCCCTCCCTTCAGCCCCTCTGCCCCTCCCCATCTACAAACATTTTATTTTCATCTTTTCATTATCTCACATTTTTTTCTTTTCCCTTATTACCCTTCCCCTACCCATCCCACCTTCCCTACACCTTTAGCTCCTTTCTTCCCATTTCTAAATGTCAGTAATCTTATTAGGATCATATGTATTATTGCAGATTATTCACACAAGGGAAACTATTCGGTATTTACACATGTGTGACTTATTTATTTCACTAAGGAGTATATCAATATGTATCTATTTTTCTATGAATGAATCTATTTTCTCATTCTTTATGGCTGAGTAATATTCCATTTTATAGAAAAACCACATCTTCTTTATCCAGTTTCCAATGGATGGGCAAATGGGCTGTTTCCAAGATTTAGCTATTACAAACTGTGCCGCTATAAACATGGGTGCACATACTTCTCTGTGATATGATTCTTTTAGTTCTCTTGGAAAGATACCCAGCAGAGGGATGGCTGGGTCAAATGAAACCTCCAGTCCAAGCTCTTTGAGGAATCTCCATATTGATTTCCATAGTGGTTGCACCAATCTGCACTCCCACCAACAATGGAGAAGGGTTCCTTTCTTCCCACAACCCCGCCAACATTTGTTATTGTGTGATTTCTTGATAGCAGCCATTCTTTGTGGGATGAGGTGGAATCTCAGTGTTGTTTTCATTTGCATCTCTCAAATGATCAGTGATGTGGAACATTTTTTCATATATTTACTTGCTGCTTTTACTTCTTTGTCTGAGAAATGTCTGTTCACTTTGGATGCACATTTTTGAATTGGGTCTTTATATTTGGGGGGGCTGATTGTTTTGAGTTCTTTATGTATCCTTGATAATAGTCCTTTGTCTGAGGAACAGCTGATAAAAATTTTTTCGCACATTGTGGATTGTCTCTTAGTTCTGGTGATGGTTTCTTTTGAAGTACAGAAGCTTTTTAATAAGATGAGATCCCAGTTGTTGATTCTATCTGCTAGTTCCTGTGCTACTGAGGATTTGTTCATAAAGTCTTTTCCTATACCAATATCTTCCAGAGTTCTGCCTAACTTACCTTCCAGCAAATTTAATGTTTCTGTTTTAATATTTAGATCTTTAATCCATTTGTATTTTAATTTAGTGCATGGTGTCTAAGCGTCTAATTTTAATCTGTGGCAGGTTGACATCCAGTTTTTCCAACACCATTTATTAAAGAGGCTATCTTTCCTCCACTGAGGATGGTCAGCTCCTTTGTCAAAGATGAGGTAGCTGAGTACATCTGGGTTTGTTTTTGTGTCTTCCAGTCTGTTCCACTGATCCTCAGGCCTGTTTCTTTAACAGTATCATGGTGTTTTTGTCACAGTGGCTTTGTAGTATAGTTTCAAATTGGGAATTGTTATACCTGGTGCCATGTGTCTGTTGCCTAAAATGGCTTTTGCTATTCTAGGTCTCTTATGGTTCCAAATGAATTTTTGGATTCTTTTTTCTAGTTCTGTGAAATATAGTGTTGGAATTTCTGTTGGCATTGCATTGAATGTATATAGAAGTTTTGGTAGTATGGCCATGTTCACTATGTTGATTCTTCCTACCCAGGAACAGGGGATATCTTTCCATTTTTTTATATCCTCTTCAATTTCTTTTTTCAGAGTGCTGTAGTTTTCAGTGTAGAGATCTTTTGCTTCTTTTGTTAGATTGTTTCCTAGATACTTCATCTTTTTGGATGCTATTGTAAAAGGAATTTTTTCCCTTATTTCTCTCTCAGTGAGTCTGTTATTTGTGTATAAGAAGGCTATTGATTTAAAAAATAACTTTCTAAGCTTGCTTTATCAATTATCTATTTGTTCTTCTACCCATGAACTAGTGGGGATTATTTACTTGATGTATTAAGTGACAACTAATTTTTTACTTATCTATGTGTA